GCATAAAAGACAAAGTCAAACAAGGCGTGTTACTGTTCTTGATAACTTTACTCACTTTTACAAAACCTCAGAATAGTTATCTGAAAATGTGTAATTCTCTTGGACTGCAATCTAGCCCCCAGACCTATGATGAAGCAAAGCTGATTTAGCAGCATACTGAAGAAATAATGAAATAAAAGGAAGAGGAGCCCACACAGGGTCCTCTTCACTGTGTTTTAGGAGGTCATAATTCTCTGGTTATTAACAGGCGGAGTGTTTCAGAGTTAGAAGAGATATTAAGAAACTAGGAATCTACATCTTCCCTTTTACAGAAAATGATACAAAAGATAATTCTTTGTCATCTCAGTGCCCTCAAACGGCTTCCAGTTCACCATTCAACCTGTAGGTGGTAGAGCGGGAGGGCCTATGTGAGGCCAACAGGCACCAAAAGGACTGAGAGTGGAGAGAATATGGTGGAAGGAGAACACAAACTTCTTGGCAAGAGCCAACATATTGAGGAAATGCCACAAGAAGGAAGTGGTGTGCCTGGGCGAAAAATGCACAGGTTAAGGGTAAAATTCATAAGAAATGTTCTGAGGCTTGTAGAATTGCTGAGAGCTGGAGAGCTGGAGAGCTGGTGAGGAGGTAAGAAGCAATCTTGGTAACTATTGCTGTGTTACATGTTTGGACCTTATTTTGAATGTTCTTTGAAGGCACCATGAAGAATTATAGCTATTTCTGAATTCCTATTGGAGGCTAAAACTGCCTTCTTAAACTGTGCAACACATCAGCTACTGTATCAAGTGGGTCTCTAAAATTGATAGTTTATAGTCATATAAAGAAACATATCAGGAAAGAGAAGATATTCATCTAATGAGTGGATCTCTTCAGTCACAACAGTCAATTTGGATAATGTTATTCACCGGTACATTCTTCGTTCCTTTGTAATCATCCCCAAGTTTATCTCCTCTGAGGCTCAGCAACAGAGATTGATTTACTGAACTATATAAAAGTAGCTGCTCTCCCGCCACAGAAACTCCAAACCTTCTCTTTTCTTCTAAACTTTCTTTCCTAGTAAAATAATGTAAGGCAATCTTTCTAATATGAAGACAACTTTACTAAATCAGTTGTAGAGAGAGAAGAAAAGCTTGGTTGGTACCAATGATAACACTGCACAATTATGCATTTTAAAGAAATCTAGAAGTTTCTCTTTATGACCATGTATCCTGTATGGAAATGAATAAATGACTTTTGTATAGTGCTTACTACATGCCAGGCATTATTTTAACTGCATCATACAGTTAACCATTCCATATTTACAATATGTTCAGGAAAGAGATTCTACTGGGATCATTCTTATTTTACATAGAGGAAACTAAGGCATTGAGCATTTAAGTGACTTGTTCAAGTTCACATCTTTGGCAAATGGCAGAGATGGGATACTGAGCCAGAGACCACGCACTCAACCACTACCTATACTGCCTTTGATTTAAAATTACAAAATGTTTCATTAAAATGCCTATTAGTTATTCATATTTACATTATCTTGGCAAGTAATATAATGATCGTATGTAAATAAGTACAGCACAACTTACTGAAAAGAGAAAATTGCTTTGGGTAGCTTGAAAAATACAGTAGACCGTGCATATTATGTTACACTATGACTTCACTGAAGAAGGATTTTACTATAGCTAGTCCCATGCATAACTATCCAAAGTCACGTCCCAAAGGCAATGCTCGTTCAACAAATGTGGTCCAAATTACAAAGCTTTAATTGCATAAATTATATTTTGAATGTACTTCAGAAATTTGGAATTGTACTTTGGTACTGTAGACATTGCCTACTCCTGTATCCTTAATGACATGGCTGTTAGGATGGGATATATATATATATATATATATGTGTGTGTGTGTGTGTGTGTGTGTGTGTGTGTGTGTGTATAGTTTTCTATTTCTCTAACATTTATATTCATTGAGGACAGCTGGCCTTTTCCTGTCTAAAAGTTCACTATGAAATGGACACGTATTTCCTTTGCCTTAAGAATGGCATTTCCCAGCAGCCACAGAAATCATTTTAATTCTGTTTCTGAGGCAGAAGGAAGATTTCATGTGTAAAATACGGTGAGACTGTTTCTAAACTGGGACCTTTCCACCTTTTGCCTGGTATGGAGTCTCATCTATGAGCAATGTTGCCAATGTATATGCCAGGGATATAGAGAACCATTATGTTCTGGACTTGTTCCATTTACCCATCTCCTTTTCTCACTACTTCCACTGTGAACATTAATGTGACATCTAATCACAAACCTTAACTGTTTCTCCTGTGGCCAATTCAGAGACTTTCTGGTTTATCTGCTTGTTGAAAAGCAGAAAGGGACCTAGAAATATGTGTGAGGTAGAGGCCATATTGATTTCCAGTATTGGTGTTGGCAGAAATCATGCCACAGACCTTGTAGGCCAAAACCCACAACTGTTGTATGAGGTTCTGTGACGTTGTCACCAGTAGAAATCCAATATTCTCAAATCACAATTATTTGCAGTTATCACAATATATCTCACATCACTGTTTTGTAATCAAAGTAGTCCTTACATTTACTAATAGATTTTATTGTTTCATAGGTTGAAAAAATAAACACAGGTTATATCACAATTTCTTTATATTTTGCTAACAATATTTAAGATAATTGCCTTACTTAATGATTGTCCTTCATTTATGCCACTAAAGTCATATCCTGGGTAACAAACAAAAAGGTCAGAAATCACTGCTAAAAAGCGATATCCTGTGGAAAAAGGGAGTGGAAAAACAAGTGAATCCAAAGCCTTTTCTGCTTGCATTTTTGAAATTAATGCTGACCTCTTGGGTGCCTGAAGAGAAGGAACAGAGTTTTTCATGTTCTTTTGTGTGATGATCAGTCAGATGTGGTCAGATGAGGAGCAGTGGAGAGGTTCCAGAAACAAACTTTATTGTGCTCACAGGCCCTGCACACAGTATACATGAGATACCACATGGGACCATGTGGAAAAAACACCAGGGTTGTCAGAAGACAGAAGACAAGAGCAAGGGGAAAGTTTAGGCTGAGCCTTTATTTGAGTTTCCCCTGGCAAGGTAAGTCAGGGTGGCCAGCTTAGGATTAGCTAGTTCAAATGACGTTAGTGGGCTCCAAGCAACAGGATGGACCTTAGTCACCTGGTACCTCGCCCTGGCCCTGGGATGATTCAGGCAAAAGAATATTGCCTGTTGGGGTGTAAGAGCCAGATAGGGGAAGGCTGGCTCTGGATTGGTTCATTTGCAAATGAAAGGTGTCCTCCTGGCTAGCTAGGCCTTTCTAAGAATGGAGGAGCGGCAGGAGGGGCAGTCTCTCCTCAGACAGAAAGGATTTTTTATTTATTTATTTATTTATTTTATTATTATACTTTAAGTTCTAGGGTACATGTGCATAACGTGCAGGTTTGTTACATATGTATACTTGTGCCATGTTGGTGTGCCGCACCCATCAACTCGTCTGCACCCATCAACTCGTCATTTACATCAGGTATAACTCCCAATGCAATCCCTCCCCCCTGCCCCCTCCCCATGATAGGCCCCGGTATGTGATGTTCCTCTTCCTGAGTCCAAGTGATCTCATTGTTCAGTTCCCACCTATGAGTGAGAACATGCGGTGTTTGGTTTTCTGTTCTTGTGATAGTTTGCTGAGAATGATGGTTTCCAGCTGCATCCATGTCAAAGGATTTTTAATTCCAGATCCCTGAGGAATCGTCACACTGTCTACCACAATGGCTGAACTAGTTTACAGTCCCACCAACAGTGTAAAAGTGTTCCTATTTCTCCACATCCTCTCCAGCACCTGCTGTTTCCTGACCTTTTAATGATCACCATTCTAACTGGTGTGAGATGGTATCTCATTGTGGTTTTTATTTGCATTTCTCTGATGGCTAGTGATGAGGAGCATTTTTTCATGTGTCTGTTGGCTGTATGAATGTCTTCTTTTGAGAAGTGTCTGTTCATATCCTCTGTCTACTTTTTGATGTGATTGTTTCTTTCTTGTAAATTTGTTTGAGTTCTTTGTAGGTTCTAGATATTAGCCCTTTGTCATATGAGTAGATTGCAAAAATTTTCTCCCATTCTGTAGGTTGCCTGTTCACTCTGATGGTAGTTCCTTTTGCTGTGTAGAAGCTCCTTAGTTTAATTAGATCCCATTTCTCAACTTTGGTTTTTGTTGCCATTGGTTTTGGTGTTTTAGACATGAAATCCTTGCCCATGCCTATGTCCTGAATGGTAGTGCCTAGGTTTTCTTCTAGGGTTTTTATGGTTTTAGGTCTAACATTTCAGTCTCTAATCCATCTTGAATTAATTTTTGTATAAGGTGTAAGGGAGGGATCCAGTTTCAGCTTTCTACTTATGGCTAGTCAGTTTTCCCAGCACCATTTATTAAATAGGGAATCCTGGGGCGGGAGTATATACCCAAAGGATTAAAAATCATTCTGCTATAAAGACACATGCACATGTATGTTTATTGTGGCACTATTCACAATAGCAAAGACTTGAAACCATCCCAAATGTCCATCAACGACAGACTGGATTAAGAAAATGTGGCACATATACACCATGGAATACTATGCAGCCATAAATAAGGATGAGTTCGTGTCCTTTGTAGGGACATGGATGAAGCTGGAAACCATCATTCTCAGCAAACTATCGCAAGAATAGAAAACCAAACACTGCATGTTCTCACTCATAGGTGGGAATTGAACAATGAGAACCCTTGGACACAGGAAGGTAAACATCACACACCGGGGCCTGTCGTGCGGTGGGGGGAGGGGGGAGGGATAGCATTAGGAGATATACCTAATGTAAATGATGAGCTAATGGGTGCGGCACACCAACATGGCACATGTATACATATGTAACAAACCAGCATGTTGTGCACATGTACCCTAGAACATAAAGTATAATAAAAAAAAAAAGGATTTTTAAAATGTCAAAACATCATAGTATGCAAAAAATAGTATACCCACCCCCACACCCCAACACACACACACACACACACACACACACACACACTCACTACAAATAGCATCTGACGCAAGTCAGGGTAGCTGTTCAGATGCTGACATATCACTGCTTATACATGTATTTTTAGCTCACCTCTTTCATCATTGCATTATATGCTTTTCCATTAAATCTAAGGAATCTCCACCTCTTTAAAGACATCGTGCTGAAGTTGTCCCTTTCATTTTCATCTGTTACCGGGTGATGTATGCTTCTGTAGTTCTGAGGGGAAATAATCTAAGCACCAAGGGTGGGCCTTGGTCTCTTGCTGGCTGAGCAGGATTTGAAAGAGGAGGTCCTAGTCTTTTAGACACAATGTCCGGTGGAGTGGAAAACTGTTACTACAAGAGTATTTTTTGATGCTTGCTCCCTGCTGATCATGCCTGAAAACACTTTCTAGAAATCTGATGTGTCAGAAGGGAACTCTGCCATGCTGACTTCACAGCACCAGGATCACAAGGAGCTCTAAGACACTTCGGGGGTTTAGTATACCACTGCCTGCATGTGGTGAGAAGATATCAATATTTATTCAGGTATTTGTTTTATCTTTTTTTCTATTACTATATGTGCTAAATAATGTTGTCCTAGGCTATGTTCCAAGGGTTAGCAACAGAGTTTACTTTGTTTCCTGAGTCTTATATCTACGATCTTAAGAAGTGTACAGAAGAATCACCTGTAACACTAAAACCATACACATACCTTCCCTGCTTACCCCAGTGATATTCTGATTTCAGAGACATTGGAGGTTTTCAAGAAACCATGTTTTTAAAAAGGTGCATATATAACAAACGTAACCCTAACTGAGAAAACTACCTTACTGAATTCATAAATAAACTCTTATATCATTTTGATTATAATAATTGCACAAATGCATATAATACTTGGATGGCATTGGTTAATATTTTATGCAGTTATGTGCACTTTTGTGTAACTTTTGGGAAAAAAATTGCAAAATAACCAACCCTGAAATATGTCATTTGCATATGTTGCATACGTTAATTTCTTTTATTAGCAATTATTAGAAATGCATACATTAACTTTAAAGAATGAAGAACATTGAGATAATCATTGTAATTTATGTATTGCATTTATAGTCCAAGTCTGTATAAAAATATAGCTTCCTTTAATTGAAAGAATTCTCCTTATCAGCTTTCCCGAAGTCCTGTATGCTTGATTTACTGCCAATTATGCCACAGATCTCTAAATAGCACTTATCTTTTATCTAATATTTCCATTGCCAGTGTTAATCTTCTCTTGATTTTCCAATTACCTGTTTTCTTGATGATGTAAGTAAGTCTTCTTTTAGTACCTTGGATCCCACCCATCTTGTTGCTCTCATGAACTCCAGACTCTTTGTATTTATCATTTCCTTTTTTATCTGGATATAGACTGTAATTTTATTTCTCAAATACAGTCTTGATTAAATGTCAAGGAACATTTTCTGATATTCCAGGTACTGTTCCAGACTCTAGAGATGTGGAGTCCTAGTTCTCTGAGACCAAACAAGCAGTTACAGTACCATGTGACAGCTGCAATAATCCAGCTAAGCCTAAGTGCTGATTGAGCATGACTCTGCAGGCTTGCCAGGGGAGTTGATTCCTGAGCCAATTTACAATCATTAGTGGAAGTTAGGCGTTCACAACTCTGACTTATCCACTTGTATATCACCAGCCCCTTATATGGTACTTGTCTCTGACACAGAGTAGATGTTCGATAAATGTTAAATTTAATTGAAGAATGAGGAAAACATAGACTTTTTAGCAACTGAAAATAATTATCTGGGTTTGAAGATAGACTGCAATTCATGAAAAAGTTTAAAAATGTATTTGAAAATATGCCAGGGGCTTTAAAATGAATTTGCATGCTACACAGGGTGTTTACATTTTATTTTAAGATGAGATTCCAATTAGGGGTACCGTATTATCTAATTTACTTTTTATAATGTGCATTTGGGCTTCTTTTACGAAGTTTGATGTTATAAAAAGGCTTATCAGTGCTCCTCCCAAAGTCCTACTAAAGAATCAACGTAGCTTTTAAAAAAATCCAACTTTAGCCACATCAACATGGTGAGACAGAAACACAAATGTTTAAAAATCTCCAAAAATGTTGATGCTATCACTGATCAAGCTGCATTGAGAGAAACAATTGGTCATCTATTTAGACTTACATGACAAAAAAGACAAACTTGGTCCATCAAAAGGGTCCAGAAAAGCACTATATCCCTCCACAAGATCCCCTACACACACTTTTTTCTCCTCTCAGAGATCCTAAAATTGTGCTAAGAACAAAAAAATAAGTATCAGGGGTAGTCAATCCTGTTATCTGATGACTGATGCCTACTGCAAAGATTAAAACATTCCCCATGTCTCTCCTTTCCTTCTCTCTTGTTTTACAGTCGGCAATAAGACACACTTTTCCTCTCCTGTTTATAGGGGAATACTTTTTAAAAAACACTTACATACCAGAGGATAATATATAGACTATCTCAGCACGTTCAAAAGAGCAGAAATTGTACAGGTGACATTTCAGACCACAGTGCAATACAATGAAAGATGATTAACACCATTTTAAGAATAGATGATGATCTATAACAAAAGGTTAGTACAAATTTAATTGCTCACTGGATGGGCAATGGCTTTCTAAGAAGGTAATTTTAGAAATAAAGGAAAAAATTACTACATTAAAAAATGTGGTTGAACACTTGTCTTTGCTCTCTGGCAACTTTTGCTTGTTACGAAAGAGCACCTATCACATTTATGTTGAGACTCGGTGTTTTCATGTCTGCATTAACTAACATTTTGTAAGTTCATTGAAGATAGCAACTGTGTACCTTGGGTCTCTACATACTGCCTGTCACATGATGGATATTAATAAATATCTCATCCAAGACTTTTTCTAAAATAACACTTTGAAACAGAGAAAATGTCAACAAACATAAAAATAATATTTTCAAGTTAAAAAGACTAGTACTCTAATAGAAAAATGGTTTTAAAAGTCCAGTCTATTCAGATAGCTAAATTATTAATAAACTATTTCTAAATGTTTAGTCTCCTGCGATTAAAATAAATAAGTAAAAACTAGATCACACAGATTTTGTTTAATAAGTTGGCAGATGTATACATTGTTTTACAGGGTGATGGTGTGAATATGGATTCATTACAATCTTCCTGGAATACTTGTAAAAAGAAAAAGCAGGAGATATTTTACCACCATTACAAAACAAAAACAAAACGGAAACCCAATCATATTATTTATTGCCCCATATAAATTCCAAATACTCAATTTGCAGGAAATAAAGGGGAGTATAGAAATATCTATTCATGAATAAAATCAAATAAAGTTACTAAAAGTGATTCAGCCACAGCTCAGGAAGATTACTTATATTATTCTTCATGTTCTCCACTATAGTATACACTTGTATATGAAATACATTTCCTACTTGTAATGTTACAGACTTAATACTCTCCTTCTTCTTGGCTGCACTCTAATCTATTACTCTAATAGATTTCACTAAGTCAAGAATGCAACCCATGTTCAGATGTATTTTGCTACTATAGGGAATATATATATGTGATATATATTTTTTAACATATTTATTAAATATATCTATATATTGTATTAATGTATAAATTTATATATTCATATATTGTGCTTATGTTTTATTCAATATGTGCTTTCATTCTAAAAGCCTATATTCTTATATGTCTAATTTTAAATTAAAATGGAAAATACATTACATGCATTTACTTTATCTTATATATTTATATAATTTTATTTGTATTAACAGAGAACATTTTCAATGTTAATGGTATATCATTTCTTCATTTCAGACTTTATTAAAATTTGTCCTGTTTTCAATTAAGTAGGTTTTTGTTGCATATGTTTATAAGATTAAGTCATTTGCTTTATTTCTAAATTGAGCTAAATGTTTCATTACCAAATAAAGAATGGACATTTCACTTTTGCTAAGTAATTTTAGATATCTTTCAGACTATCATTTAAATCTTATTTTAAATATATTTCAATGAGGATTTCTAAAGTTCATCATTGCTTGCTTTTCTGAAATACACCCTATTTAATCAGGATGTCTTATTCTATCAATAAATTGCTGCTGTTGATTTGGTAGTATTATCTAGCATTTATATATACGTTCATAGTGAGAATTTGGTAGAGACAGATAATGTGTATGTACCTTCTTACAGTGTTATTGGAATTTACATTCCATGATGTTCATATGTTTAGTGTACAATTTCCTGGTTTTTAGTATATTAATACAGTTGTGCAAATACCACCATAATCTAATTTTATAAGATTTTTATAATCTCCAAAAAGAAACCTTGTACCAATTAGCAGTAACTCCTTATTTCCCACTTCCGGATTTTAAACAGTGCCAGAACATAGAGAAAAATTTTTTAAAAATCTCAAAACTTACATGAGGTTATGAAGTTGTAAAAAAATACCCAAAATTATCCACTAATTGTAGATTTAACAGATCTCATACATACAAATTTCCTTGCCTTGTAACTTCATATATACATATACATTAATTTTATAGACTGTTATCAAATATATCTTTCTATATAATCTTTTCTATCACATTTTCAAATATGTAAAATTTTATTTAGTATTTTATATAATATTTCATATATTTTGTTTATCTTTAGTTGTGTAGTTTTTCTCTTTCCTCATAGTAATAGCATCTCCTTTATTTCTGTCTTGTTTATATTTGAAAAATAATTTATTGTTTGTTAGCTTTTTCAAGTAAATAATTTTGGGGATGAATTTTTGTTTCACTAAGTTTTTAAAATAATTCCTGAACATTTAATTACATTGGATTATTATTCTTTTTTTTATCTCTAGCTTGTGTTAAATCTATAGAGGTAGGAAAATATAATCAAAACACATAAATCAAAATTAAAAGTATGATGTAGTTGGCTTATTTTTGCTCTTAATTTTCACCATTAGGTTTTCTACATTTTTGATGCTATTGAGAATCAGTATGCATCACTGTTATACTCAAAAGAAAAGAACCATTATTTTTTAAAATTTCACTTGAATGAAAAGACAGAGGGTGATTTATACATAGAAGAGTACACAGCAGGATACTTTGATTCATATGTAACTTTCCAAGCCATTGGTGATATGGTTGTTTTGATGAATATGTAAACTATTTGAAATGTACAACTTCTACCTCTGTTATCAAATAATGTGAGCATAATGTATCCTGACTCTTTCTCTTACTCTGCCTCTTACTGAACCATGATTGTGGGCAAATTTTATTTTGCCTTCTCTTGTATATTGTTTGAATATGTATGCATAAATGTATGAATTATATGTCTTCTGAAATCACAATAAGAGCTACAAAAATATTTTTACCATTTTGGTTAGGACTATATTTGCCTCTGAGAAGGAATGAGTCATGTTGTCAAATGACATCATCATAAATGTGTGACGCCATTAAATATAAGGTATGTAGATTATGAGATACATTGGGTGAACTATTAAAAAGTTAACTGAGGAATTCCTGTGGATA